CACATTATTGTATTTTAACGCAAAACGATAAGTTTCGCAAAGATTTTAAATTAACACAATGGAACATACACATTTATCGTTATTATTGGAAATGCAAGACTTGCCATGCGTTTTTAATTTCTTATTTAATCGATTCAAATGAATAAAACCCACATTTTTCTAAAATATTTCTCAATTTACATTTTAAAGTTTTTTCTGAAACTTGAATGTAACTCTGGTCAGGTGATCTCAGCGTTTTCATGGCGTTTTCCATACTTGTAAGCCTATACAATGGTTCTGGAACGCACTAAATGTCTCGTTTTCGGTTATGCTTGTTAAAAGTAAAAAAAAAATTTATATTTGAATTTGATGATTTATTTGACCGTCTCGCGTTGTGTTGACAAAAAACAAGTTTGCTAAACAAAATTTATTGCATAATGGGCCGTTTACATAAGGCTTTTGCTTAGCTTTGCTTCATAATAAGTTCGCTAATTTTTTTTTTTGTACAAAACGGCTAAGAAATCGACTTCCGGCTGTTTGCTATCGCAACCGGCTAAATCTAGCCGGAAAGCGATTAAAATGGCAACACTGCTGTCAAGCAAAGCGAGGAGAGTCTTATGTAAACGGCCCTCAAGCCTGCTATACAGTTCAATGCGAGCGTGGGCTTTTTATTTTGACCAATATGTTCGTTACTACTTAACTTTTTGCAATAGCTGGTACATCAAAAGAATTAAAATATATTTCAGAATTATAGGATAAAAACGAATCCTATTCCTAATCTAATTCCTAGTAAAGTAGGAAAGCTTCGACAATTGTGTGAGAGCGTCCATAAGAATACAAATGGAATTCTTTGCCTTTGCGAACGTTCACGCTCGCATTGAACTGTAACCCCACATCTCCATTTTCTACTAAATGTGTCTTAACATCTGTCAAATTTCTGTTTTAACTTTGTCCCGTTTTCCCATGTGTGCATCTTGCTGTCTTAACATATCACTTTCGAAATGGCATTAAGCCAATCAGATCGATCTGTACCCAAAGTAGATGGCGCGGTCAAATGAAAACTGACTTGTCAAACTACAAAATGACAGCTGATGTTAAGGCAGCGATGGTAAGAAATTCGTCAAGACAGATATGGTTTAACAGTAGAAATTTGCGGTCTCCATCTGACATTTCTGTCTTACCACAGCTTTTTTAACAGAATCTGTAGAAGATGGAAAGTGCGGTAAAGCCTGATATACCATGATATTTTGACCAATATTTTCGTTAATACTTAACTTTTTGCAATAGTTGATACATCAAAAGATTGAGAATTAAAATATCGTTCAGAATTATAGAATAAAAACTAATTTAAAATGCATTAATATACCTTTTTTCAAGCTCACACTCAACTGTGTGCGTACGCAAAGCATTCGCATGTGAACGACAAGTTTTGACAGATGTGTGTGAGCGTCCATAAGAATACAAATGGAATTCTTTGCCTGTGCGAAAGTTCACGCTCACGCTCGCATTGAACTATATATCAGGCTTATAGCAAGCTTTACGCTGACGACACACAATCAGTTTTGCCTTTCAATTTCTTCACACACATTGCTTGTCAAAAATCTTCAAAATTGAAGCCATTACCGGGCCGTTACACATTCAATTGTCCCCTTTAAATGTTCAATACTCCCACACTTTTTCACAAAGGCTATCTGCACACTTGTCGTCCAATCATAGTTGCGTTATCGTCTCGCCCTGAAATTTTGGGCCGAGCACATGCATTTCAAAGGAGGTCTGCACACTTGTCTTTTTCGGCTAGTTATCGGCAAATCGTAGAAGATGCAGAAACGGATAAGTTCGGAACTGTCGTTTGCTAATCGTTGTGCACGCATTGCTTGTTTACATTTTATGGGGAAAAATTAGTGAAAAAGTTATTATTTGCATTAAAATTTAATAAAAATTAGTGTCTTTGGCATAAAATCTGTCGAAATTATTAAAAAGTGGATAATTGCAATAAAATTCAATAAACGTGAGCGTTTTAACTATAAAACATGACGAAATTGTAAAAAGGCTCTGTGTGCATGCACAAAATACATTTCAGGAAAAGAAAAGAAGATATATTACTGAAAATTTATTTCTAGAATTGTTGCAGCACAGTCCATATTTTAAAAATTGTAGGTTTTTGTAAATATTTCGCGAAAATATCAACCAGAAAAACAGAAAATACCTGCTCCAAGTCAATTTTTAGACGCCAAATGAATTGAAATATCACGACCGAGTGTGCGAAAATGTAGTCGTCATGTAATCGTTGCATCATGATTGTGACGATGAAATTGGACGACCAATGTGCGGAAAGCCTAACACGCTCTTATTTATTGCTTGAATGGGAGACTTGCTTTCGATTTTTCCCTTTCAATTGAGTTTCAATTTTGCTTTCAATTTTGATCAGCTTTTCAGCATTGGCGTGCGAATTTTTTGAAAATAAAAAAATACTAAGCTTATGCATGCTAAAATGTTAATCTACAATGGAATTAAAATGGAAAATGGTCTTCAGAAGCTAGTTAGTTACATTGTTTTCTTGAAGACGGCATGTGGATAATGAAATTGCTTCTCAAATAGAATGCAGCCTACGTAATGGCTTTCAATTTTTATGATTTTTGACAAGCAATGTGTGTGAGCAAATTGGACGCGTTTATAAAGCTGTGTTTGCATTGTTCAACTTTGCGTTCAACATTTGCGTTCAACTCAACGCAGCGTTGCACGAAAAAAAAGTTGAATGCCTAAATGTTGGCTGGCGACCAGCTTCGTATTTTTTCATATTTTGATATTTTTAGCCATTCATTTTTTTTTCGTGCGCTGAGTTAACGCAAATGTTGAACGCAAACTTGAACAATGCAAACACACTTTAAGACGTAGCTGTTTAGCTCAACTGCTACGAAACTGCTGGCAACTGTTGGACCCAACAACTATGTCTTAGAAACGGCTTCATGAATATGCTGCCAAATGAACAGCTGATAAAAGTAAACAAATGAAATTGCAATAAATACAGATAGTTGCGCCGATAGTATTTAGAATTCAACCCTGAGCTACCGCCGTGTTGAAAAGTCGTTCAATGTTATAATGAATTAAACAGTGCATAATTATATAGGAAACACCTTAGGGCCGGTTACTTAATATCTGGTTAACAATAATCTGCGGTTAAACATCGTTATCGACGTCTTCGACTCCATGCATACAACAGGGAGTCGGTAACGTCGATAACGATGTTTAACCAGAGATTAGTGTTAACCAGACATTGAGTACCCGGCCCTTAAAAACATATATTTAGAAACGTGGTATTAGTATAAAATATTTTAGTTTCTTTAATAATAATAGAATAAATTTGTTTGCAACTGCCACCTAACAAAGCGGTGTTAAATTTAATACAAGCGGCGTAAGTCTTTACGATCAGCTGTTTAGGCTAAGTCCAACACGTTGAGTTCAGGTAGCGTAAAAATTTTCCGCTTGAAAAATTGGCGGAAAGTTGCCAACTGTTGAGATGAGCGAAACAACTCAACTGTGCGTTTCGAAGACAAACACTCAACAGTTTAACAACAGCTACGTCTTAGAAACGCGCCCATTGAAAGGCAAAACTGATTGTGTGCCGTCAGCGTTACGTAGGCTGCATTCAATTTGAGAAACATTTTATTGCCAAAATGTCGTCTTCCAGAAAACAATGGCGCATATTCATAGTCATATTTAGTACCCAACTAAGTCGAAACTATTCTAAGTCACAACTAAAGCTATTCATAGTCGCCTTAGTTTCGACTTTTCTGGCTAATTACCAACTTAAAATTTAGTTTCGGCTGGAGCTGCAACTAAGTCGTAACTAAGAAGAAGTATTTTATCAAATTAAGGGAAAACAGACGAAATATGTAAAAATTAAGTTGGTAGAGAGTGATTTTGATAATATTGAATAATCTCCAATTAAAATTTACAAAGATCGATCCATTTTAATCGGAAGATGAAATTAATTAAATGCGTATTATAATTCGAATAAAGCTACATCACAATTTTATAATTGGAATAATTTAGATAAATTCTCAAATAATAAGTCAGTTTCACGCTAGTTCTTTTAAAGTAAATTTGTGCATAACATTTAGATATCTACTATTTGTATGTTTCACAGCATGCTTTCGATAAACATCGACTTCACATCACTGCGGTTGTTCTGGCTATTTCACACAATTAACAAGAAAATGATACCTTATTCTTTTGCATAATCATGCAATGAAAATAAAAGTTACATAAACGGATGATCAAACTTGACATTATTTAATAAAAATGTAATTTTTCCAAAATATCGTAAAGAAAAATCGATACATTTTCACACTCGTTTTGCTATATCGTAAACTAAGTCGAAACTACTTAGTAGAAGTCTGAAATGCGACTATGAATAGAGGTAAATTTTAAGTTGGTACTTAAATTTAAGTTGCAACTTTGTTAGTTGCTGGACTATGAATACGCGCCCATGTAAATAATGTTTTCGTTGTCTGTCGGAACATAGTATTACGATAAGTGCTTATTATACCATTCTACCATGAACGAAAGACACAAGATCACGTAAGAACAAGAGAGTGAAAAAAGTATATTTTTTTAGCGGGTTCTACGCCATCTTGTTTCACTGGAAGACGATCGAAAAGTAAACAAAGCAAACAAACCAACGAAAACCCAAATTAGCCAAAATTATTGTCAGCCACTTTAAACGCACAATTTAGGTAAAATGATGCAACAAATAGCTTTAAAATGTGTTGTCATGTTGAATTAACTCTTCTTTACTTGAATAAAAGTGTAAAATAGTGGTGCTTGTGATGTAAACAAACGCTCAGCTGACGAACCCGCTTTCGCAAACTTTTTTCTCAAAACCAGTTACAAATACAACGTCGAGTTCTTACGTGATTTTGTATGTTTGGTTCATGCCATTCTACTACTTTTTCTGCAAGCATGCTTTTCAAAGCAATCCTGGTGACTCTTCTTCTTCCACTTTGTTGGAACAAATTAAGTTTTGACACTCGTTCATTGCATTTTAACAATTCTGTTAGTGAAAAAATAGTTTTCATAAAATATTTCCTTATATATTCGAAAATAACATTTATAGCGCATCCTGCGATATCTGAGGCAGATTATAAGCTGTAGACAAGAAAACATTGAGGATAGTGGAAATAGTGTAAGTGCGCAAAAAGAGAGTAGAAACTTGGTAAACGACGAATGAATAGAATACGAAATAAAACCTAAAGTATTTGCTGAGGACAAAGAAAAGAAAAAATACCTACAAATATTCAACCCTAGTGGTAAAAGAATTTTGATGTTTTGTAAGTGTCCCTATTGTTGCGAAGGAAATGTGTTAGAATATACCATTTAAATCCTTCGAGTAATATCTTATGTTTATATGAAAATAATCAAGATCATTTGTATAGAGTCCTGAAAGTGTTACTATTTGGGACAATTTTCTTATGCTCTATATTCAGAATTTCAGATTAATTTGTATTAACATTAGGCAACCGATTCACCCTGTGTTTGCATACAACACCTATGAAGACATACATATGTATATGAAGAATAGGCAATTGCAGAAAATGGGAAACATGGTTCGGTTTTAACTTGCCTTTTGTATGAAGTAAGCAGATTCAAATAAAAGCAGCAAACGAAGAAGACGGCAGCAGAATATATTCATCATCGAGATATATTTCACGCGTAGGGAGACTGACAGTAGGTAGCAGCGGTCACGGCAGTAGTAGTGTAAGAGGCACTTTGGAAAATTGCAAATGAATAAAATTGTGTAATTTCCGATATAATTTTTTTTAATTTCTTTTAGTTGCTATCAAAATCGTTCGGTCGCACACATCACATTTAACACGAATTCTAGAATATAAGAACAAGCAAGGGTACACGGGGTAATATCTACCAAGTACAGAGAGAGGACAAAGTTGGAAAAAAATGCAACAAGATTGCAGTGAAGAAAGTTGGCTGGAAGAGCAATGTCATCGGGAGATCAACGCCCAACACGACGAACACGAACGCGACTATGTACGGCATCGGGACGCCGCTTTGAGTAATGTATGGGGCGCATTTCAGGATTCGGCTACGGCTGTCGCTCATCTTTACAGAGGTGAGTTAAATCCGCAACATTTCATTGATATACGCTTTAACAATGCATCAACACATGTTTATGCGTCGAACAAATTATCATATTTGGCAATAAAAAGCAAGGACGAATATCCAAATTGTATACATGCTCACATTATCCTTATAAATGCACATATGTACGAAAATTAAAGTGCTAAGCAAACTTTAATGATGAAATTCCCTGATTAGTGACCTTTATAAGTAGTGATTAAACGCTTTTATTTTTAGATTTTTGGCAAAAAGAAAAGAAAGAAATTTACTGATGATAAGTACATGGCTTATTAGAGCAGATAAAAGGCATTCAGCTGATCAACTTCTAGCAAATATAAAAAAATTGGTTAAATTTTCCATGAGTTTACACAAACTTTCACGACTGGTCAATTAATGAGATCGGAGTGGGGCAGATGTAAAACAAAAACTGAGTACGCTTTGTCGTAACTATGTATGCTACAACTTTTTGGTAATATTCTTGAATAATCCGTTTAATTAAAGTAAATTCAGGGCTGCAAACCGCTCCAAAAATTGGTGCGGTTCGGTTGAGTGGTTCGAACCACTTAGAAAAAGCTTGTGCCGGTGCAAGAACCGGTTCACGAGTATCTCTGAATCACGGTTCGGTTCGGTTCAAATGGTTCAGTTTATGCTAAAGAATACAAAAGTATGACAAATCCATAATATAAATATTAAAGGCTTTGTTATGAGATTCAAATATCCACATATGTATCATCGCCTGGGAAAAAGACTGTCGTGATAATTATTCGTGAGATTATATTTTTAGGTTATAATTTCCAATAATAGTAGGCAAAATTTATTCCTTTGAAATATTTTGTGTTTCGGTACTTGGAACAGTTACATATGTATGTTAATAAATTTTTATTTCACAGTTAATTTGTTTATACGATGGTACCGTTTCAACGGTACGCATTAACATTTTCATTAACTTGCAAAATTAATTTTCTCTATGTCCACCGTCCGTGTCCGGACAACTTTTTATTTACTCTCAAAACATTTTTGTTGTTGTTGTAGTTGTAGCGGTTTGTTGGAGAGGGTGCTGAAGTACGGTTCACCGTTCAGTTCGGCAAATTTTATTTTGTTCTGAAGCAAACCACTGATGATATTGTACGATTTTAAGGGCAAATAAAACATGCACCTGGCGGCAAATGCATACAAAGGAGAACGCGACAACACGAATCATCAAGTCGTTCGTACAGAAAATCAAAATTAATTTGTTCCGAACAAAGAGTGTTCAGCACATATTTATCGAGTTCTCAGTGAGACAGAGTGGGAAATGAATGCGTAAAATTAGTAACAAGATGTGCCCGGACACGAACGGTGAATCCGCCTTTATGTAATTATTATTTTATAGTATTATTATTATATGAAAAAAGGTTTATTCTTAACAGCGGTCGCCCCTCGGCAGGCAATGGCAAACCTCCGAGTGTATTTCTGCCATGAAAAAACAGCTCATAAAAATATCATCGCCGTTCGGAGTCGGCGTAAAACTGTAGGCCCCTCCTCTTTGTGTGACAACATCAAGGCGCACACCACAAATCGGAGGAGAACCTTGGCCAAACACTAACATAATATGTTACACATATTGTGTGTAAGCGCCAAACCTATTAGTATTATCTTCACTTGATTTACTCTTTCAGCCGCACTCAGAAACGTTCCTTAAATTAGCTCTAACGGGCACTTAACTAATGATCGTTAAATCTCACTCACTTTTTTCGTTCAGTTTGAAATAAAATATAAAAATAAGTATTTATATCATTTTGCGCGCACTGGCTCAACAGACGCAATGGCTGAGTGAGCAGAGCACTGGCGAAAAATATTCTTTTTCCTTTTTTTCTTTATTTTTTTTCTTGTTTAGTTTTTGTAAACTATCTTCTAATTTCTTTTGATTTATAAATTTTATTGCTTTAGAAAGGAAACAAATTTTTTTTAAATTTAATTAAATTGTTTGCTAAAAGATAAACAAGACAGACCAATTCTGGCATCTGTCTTTCAACTCACCTCAGAATTCGTGAGACAAAAGTCTTTAAATTTCGGCAACTATGTATCTTGAAAGCCCTTTTCTGTATTTCGAATAACTAATTGAAAGATGTGCTAATAGTGTTGTTATATTTATCGTTTAGCAATAAGTTTTCTAAAAACTAAACGAAATGAAAAAAATATTTTTTGAAACAAGAGTTTTTCAAACGTTAAATAAAATAAAAAATATGAATTTTTTAAGCAATAAAACTTAAAAAAAAAAATTGTATTAAAAAATCGTTGCCGAGGATTGAGCTCGGATCTCTTGAATGGCACGAAAGTGCTCTGCTCACTGGGCCATTGCCACTGTTACAGCAACGTTATCGAAGTTTAAATTTATTGAAAACAAACAAAAAAATTCAAAATCATTCGTTAAAAAGTTAAGTAAATGTTTTTGTTTACTTAATGCCGAATTTCCACTAGGCATTAAAATGACAAAAAATGTATGCCATTTAAAAAAATGCCATGTGGAAATGAACTTAATGACAATTTTTTTTTAATGTAATGACACGATAGTTTTTTAATGCCCGACTTTGTCATTTGTCATTTTTGCCATTTAATGCCTAGTGGAAATCCAGCTTAACTTTAATGTTCATTGAATGCCGTCCCAGCCAGCAAAGAAACGTAAATTTTTCCCACAGTGCAGTTTAGTTAAATTTTACTTATCCGAAAACGAATAGAAAAACTCCTACAGTTATCATCAATTTTCGTATCCAGAAAACGTTCGAAACGTTCGAAAAAGATAATGTAATTTGAAAGCAATAATTGTATTTTATTTGCTCAAGCTAAACATTTGAAAGCATGCATGCGTAGTTGGCAGTGGCTGAGCGTGCAGAGTAGGGTGCCACTATTTGTTAGCTTCTCGAAGGTGCCGAATTCCGTCACGCGCTTCCTAATTTTATTTTATTTCTTTTGAACCATGAAAAAGTATCTGTGAAGTGCAGAAGGAAGGCATATTGAACGAAAAATTCAACCAGACAAATTTCAGAAAAAACAGCCGAAAACGTATCCGTTTCACATACTGTTGTCTGTACATACGTTTCTGCCGCACACTTTAGTGAGAAAACGGATCGTCAAAGTATCCGTGAATGGAATCAGTAAACGGACAAGAATCCGCACTTCATTCACTTTTTTCGGATCAATTTTCGGATTTTTTGCTGGCTGGGGTTAAAGGTTTTCTTACACGATATGTATTTGCATCTGCAAATGTTACTTTTTCAATACATATGTAATTGCGTATGTCTGTCAAATTTAAGTCTTTATTTAGCTATTTAAAAACACGTTCTTTGAAAACGAAATAAACAAAACTCGGATGATTCTATCTGTGTGTCAGATGAAAATATAAACATTTCGTATGTACGTGCATTTGCTTTGTACAGAAATACATCTAATTTGCCTTTACACGATATGTTGACACTTCCATATGTAAAAAGTGGCATGTACACACCCAGCAAAAAACACGGTTACCACAGAAACGAAAGTGGAAACGAGCTAGGCGATGGGAATCGCTTACCCTTTCGCTTCAAGAAGGCCTTATTTTAACATGGGCATGTCATTGGCGGTAAGCCCTTACCCGCAGCATTACCTTCAAACGAAGGGAGAACGCATGGATAAACAGAATCCAGAGAAGCGAACAAAGACTGCCTTACAGAGAAACTAATGTAGAATGCCTAGATAAGTACAGACTTATTTATATTAAATTGAAATCAGAAAATGTCTTAAAAGATTAAAATCAATTAAAATTTTTATAAATCAGTTTTTATACATACATATGTATGTATGTATGTACTTGCAAATGCCTGCTTGCTTCGCGGCGCCTAATAAGATCTTTTGCGTTGGCCAATTCAAAAATAGCGTTTAAAAACAAGAGTAGTCTGTAAAGTAAAAATTTTTTGTTTAAATTGAAACGGAACGGAACGGAATCTTCCTCACCGATATGCCTAGAATAGTAGCGTTGTGATTCCATATGGAATACTTATCCCTTTCGATGTAATGCGTTTTACCTATGGTCTTATTTCCACCTGTGAGATCTCTGCCAAGCGTGCGTAATATTCTTCTATGATCCTGCAACTTCAGCATTGGTCCGGTGTACCATGTAAGCCAATAAAAGTCCTTATACGGAAACTCAAGAGCACAGATGAGCGTTTTCAATTATAGGAAGGCCAAGAATCCTCTCAGGATGAAAAGTTTTTGCGTACATTGGTTAAATGAGTCGTGTGATCTCATGAATATCGTTCAAATGAAGCCATTGATATACCTATCGTGTTCGTTCTTGTACAGATGTGGTCGAATCTTTCCTTGTCAATTCACCACTTTTACAACTCGTCTTAATATTTATGAATTGGTTTCTTTGAGTCTTACTGCTGTAATAACGGCCGCCTCGAGCAACTTCGTCAATCCGAGGTAGATGCAAGATCACGCTTACACAGTGTTACGGTCAAAGCAGAACAAACCCCGTGGGGGTTTCTATATATTTCGGGTGCAGCGTCATCCATTGGGTCCCTTTCTGCAAAACCTTTGCTTGTCATGAAATGATTTTATAAAAAATACGGATTTTCTAAATACCTAAACTCCAGAGAAAAAGAAGTTTTGGATATTCATTCTATTTTGCAGCTGACTACGATGCAGCAGTCTAGCAAAGAAGCGAAATAAAAAAAAATATTGTAGGACATCACGATCCAGAAAATAAAGGCCGCGCCATTCGCGGACCGCTAACCCTCTCTTCGTCGATTTGACAGCATCCACCCAATCGCTGAGTTCATAATATACTTTTGTTTACATTCACTGTTGCCAACTTGATGCTTTTCGCACCAAATTTAGTGGGTATTCAAAACGCGAAAATTTTTGAGTTTTGTGCTTGGTGCGTTTTTGGTGCTTTTGTTTTTAGTTTGAAGACTTCAAATTAGAAAATCTTAAAAAAATGGAAGCAAAATTTATAGCAATCGTATGTGTGCT